TCTCTCTCTCTCTCTCTCTGTCTCTCTCTCTCTCTCTCTCTCTCTCTCTCTCTCTCTCTCTCTCTCTCTCTCTCTCTCTCTCTCTCTCTCTCTCTCTCTCTCTCTCTCTCTCTCTCTCTCTCTCTCTCTCTCTCTCTCTCTCTCTCTCTCTCTCTCTCTCTCTCTCTCTCTCTCTCTCTCTCTCTCTCTCTCTCTCTCTCTCTCTCTCGCTCGGAATTTTCCCACCCAAAAGAGGCTCTTTTGGGCATTCATTCCAATTCAATTCATCTCCGTCGTGGCAAATCTGGAGGCGTCTTTTTCCCCTAAATTTCTCTCTGATTCTAGAGTAGTGGACCTTTCTCGCGCTCTCGTTATTCTCTCTCGACCACTTAACCAATCCCTTTTCTCCCATCCCTCTACACATACACAAATACATACACACACGGTGGCAATTAACTAATCGGATGGTGGACGGGTTAGAGAGGTCTTAATGCAGGCACTAACTAGAGAGACGTTAGACACAAAAGTGAATAGAAGCGGGTCCCCTCGTTTACCAAACGGCAAATTGGACACAACCCCAAGAGCATTTTATTGACCCAGTGAGCAGTCCGGAGCATTTTGTGTATTGTGATTTTAGTGTCAAAAGGGTTCACATTCCATTTCTCTTTCCCTTTTTCCCTTCTATCTCTCCACGATCTCACGGCGAGATAATTAGATCAATTATGGCCTAATTAAGTATTCCGCCCTTGCCGAATCATCGATTTTATTCATGCATCATGTGGTGCGAGTTATTTCCCACCAATTTTTTGGCTAGAAATTCAAAAATCTGAAAGTTCCTAGATAATTATGTTTCTTGATTCTTTGATTTCAGGTGTTGGCATAGTCTAATCGAATCGGTTCATTCCTGGAGTTCCCAAAGACCTAGTTAGACTTAATTAGGGTTTTACTAAATATCTCTTTCTTTTTCGCTAAAATTCGTTTGTATTCTATCCCCTACTTCCAATTTCATGGCGCCCCTTCCATTCATTGCTCTGAAGCCGTCTGACCGTAACCCCCAAAATTTTGTGTTTGCGGAAAATTATTGCTCACCCCTCCTGCTGCTTTATATTAAGCACCTCACATCAAATTTTTACATTTTCTGTGCAGCGAGGAGACCATTTCGAATGTTTAGTTGTCATTTTGATTTCGACTTTTGAACAACTTCGAATTCTAAAGTGGTTATTATTTTGGTACAATAAATCGAAGCTGTGGAAGAAAAACACCGGTGTAGCCTGTGGCTACAGGCCTGTGGCCTTGTGCCGAAGGTCCCAACGACAACTACCGTAACCTAAAAATATTTTTTTCCGGATTTATTATCTTGATTTTCATGTGTTTTCAGTCAACTTTTTCTCTCTAACATTTTTCCCCATTTTTTTGAGGGAAAACAACGGAAAACTCGACGAAAAACAGTGAAAAATTTCACTGAAAATCGAGAAAATAAATACAGAAAAATATTTTTAGGTTACGGTAGTTGTCGTTGTGTGAGCTTTGTCCACGGCCATCGGCGTTTCTCTTCCGCATCTCCCACTTTTTTGTACCAGTGAAAAAATTTTAAACCTAATTATTTATGACGAAAAAACCACGAATTTGCTTGAAATTAACTCGAAATCTCAAAAAATTATTTTTCATCGAAAAAAAATGTTGGGACTACGGTAAGCGAAAAAAAAATTCTTTGCGGCTTTTTTTTGCACAAAAATTATTTATTGATTTTTCAATTAATTATTTAATTACCAATGATCGGCCAATAATGTAAACAATTAACTTAATTCCTTTTATTATTCTTTAATTATATTTTTCTCGTTTGCTTCTCGCTCCTGTCTTTTCGAAAATCCCAAAAACCCATACTTTTCTTGCAGATCATTTGAATGGCGTTACTTCCCGGAAAAATGTTCATCTTGGTGCAGGTGGAGGACGAAGAAAAAGTCGGTGATTTAACACAAAAACTTGCCGTCGCCACAGACTACAAAGTGCCGATTTCAATCGTGAAAGACATTCAAAAAATATGCCCAAATTGCGTATATTTGACAAAAGCTTCGAGGACGGAGATGGTGTCGACAACGTCGAATTCTGGATCTGACGATGACGAGAAACATCCGACGGTGTTGCACGACACTCGTAGTACTGCAAAAGTGACATACCAAGCTCCTCAGAAAACGAATTTGTCTCTGGCATCGCATCATCACCAACAGCCACAACTACAACAGAAAACTATTTCAAATGTGCAACAAAGGACAATGACACAAGCGCCAAGAACAGGACCGATCCCGCTGAAAGTTGTGCTAGCGCCTCCAGCTCAATCAAGATCGTCAGCAAATCAAAGAATTTCCGTGGTTCCTTTGCCTATAAAATCTCAAAATGCACCGCTTCCAAGAATGGCGAATGGACTGCAAGGGCCTGTTCCAACTTCAAAAATGTCGATGAGCAATGGACATTCTTCTTCGACAAGCGCTATCAAACGAGAACCACCTCGTTCCAGTTTCCCAGAAGTCGCAACCCCTCAAAAGAAGATTAAGGTGGCGGATCCTGCTCCAGTGCTACAAAAAATCATCAAGGAAGAGTCTCCAGAAACTCCGATGGAAGTGAACTTGGAGAAAATAATCGGAGAAGTTGCTGCTGCTGCTACAGACGATGACGATAAGAATAAGTCTTCTGAAGCTTTGGTGGCTCTACTGGCTCAATGGTCGAATCCGTAAATCTTGATTTCAATATGATAATAAGGAAAAAATTGTGATGTTTCAGTACTGGCTGTGATATACCATTGAATGGAAGCAGCAGTGATGATAATGATAACGCATCGAGTTCTAGCAAAATATTCGAGGATGATGATATGGTAAATTTTGCCAGAAAAGATTGCAGTTCCACAAGTTTTTCCAGCCGCCTTTTAATCCGGACATTCTCACCAACTTGCTTGCATCTCAACAAGCGAATGACCTATTCGGACATGCTTCAAAAGATAATGTAAGCGTTATGAAAAGTGTTAAACTATGAATTGAAAAATAGGCTCCGCCCTTTTTCTGTGATCGCTAAATAGCTATAATTTCAAAAATATTATTTTCAGAAGTCTGAAACTGCCTCCCCTGGAAAGCGACAAGTACCGCCAATGTGTGAGTTTTTTAGAAAAAAGTTTCTAAATTTCAATTGTTTTTTTTCAGTGACTGTCAATGGAAAAACACGACGAGGACGGATAGTGTACACTGCTCACGAGTTGAACGTTCTGGAAGACTATTACGAGAAGGATCCGAATGCGTGTGCGGATCCGAAAAAGCGCGATATGATGTGCAAAACGTTGTCAATTGATTATCATAGAGTGAGTTATCAACAGACATTTTTTTTAATCAAAAATTTATAAACACTCTAATTTTGCTTTTTCCGAAGCGTTTTGTGTCGACAAATTAGTTGAAGAAGTGAAAAATCCGCTCAAAATTCAGTGAAATTCTAAACTTTAAAAAAAATCTGAAACTTTTTTTGAACATGACGATTTTTCGAAAGCTTTCATCATTATATTAATTAAAAGTATTATTGTTTTCAGCTAAAAGTATGGTTCCAAAACCGACGACGAAAGGATAAGGTGAGGTCGCTAGAAGACCCATCCAATAGTTCCAATGGTCATTCTCCGGAAGCTATCAGTCTATAATAAAACCATTAGAACCCATTCAATATATTAGATTCCTATCTCATTCCGCACAATCTCCCGTCATCTCATTTGCAGTCCCACAGAAGCTTTCTTGCTCCCACTAAAATAAACCCTAATAATTGTTCGGTATTTATTTACTAACTATCAAATGAATTATTCTCAAAATAAAAATTGAAATTGATTGCACTCTTCGCAATGGCTAAAATACTAATTTCGCCTAATTGTTTGTTTTCTCCGAGCGGCCACCGACTCAATTTATACGAACGCACCTGCTCATCTTGACACACCTCACAAAGAGAGTTCGCTTGAAATTAAAAACCAAATTGAAGGAAAGTGGTAAACATTCTCTGATTATTATTCGATTCGACTAATAAACGAGTGGGAGACTTTGCTGAAAAAAAAATTGGCCGAATTTGCTTTCAAAATAAACTTTTGAAAAATCTGAAAACGGTGGCATTAATATGGTCTCATTTTCGAGAAATAAAATATGATTCCTGTGGGCCAAGAGCCCACAACGACAACTTCAGTAACCTAAAATTTTTAGTTTCAGGATTTATTTTCTCATATATTTAACCGATTTCCGTCAAATTTTCTGTCGTTTTCTCCCAATCGAGTCGGACAATAAAAACTTTTATCTCAAAAAAGTTGACTGAAAACATACGAAAACCGAAAAAATCCAACTTTTTCAGGTTACGGTAGCTGTCGTTTTGGGACCTTCGGGCACGGCCACCGGCGTTTCTCAGGCAAAACTCTGGTTCTTTTGTATCAAAATAATAAAGAATCTATATAGAAAGCTGTCAGAAAAAATGATGTCTTGTTTATTTATTTCGAAATCAGGTACGATGTTAACCCAATGATTAAGGTCGTAAGGATTTCCTGGACGTCCATGGTACCAGGAAAAATAAAATAGTGGAAGATAGTCAATATTGAAGGTGAAGTCCCGAAATAGTAGCCCAGAGTTTCTCGACTTTTCTGAGAATCTTAGAGTTTACTAAACAAACCCAGAGCTCCATTTTTGTAATTGACAACTCTTTTTGTAGAAATCAAAAGAAAATCGAGATATGAGCTCAATTATCTCACTATCAGTTCCTTCAATAGATACTAAAAATTGACTGTTGAAATGTTTTTATATCATGGTAATTATTTTATTAGTTGACAAATTTCGTATATCTTTTGACTGAACCGAGATAATTGAGCTCAAAATGTATAGAGTGGGCTTGAAAATTACGGTAAGTGGTTTTTCATTTCAGTTCCCCATTCAATGCTTATCTATTTTATCCTAGTTTTGTTGGATGTATGATATATGCTCGAAAATAAATACCAACCCCTCATTAGTTTCTAAAAGTTTACCTGAACCTATAATTTGAATTCATATGCGTGGATAGAAGGCGCATGCCAATGTGTACCTTGGAATTGTTGCCAATAGCAACAAGCGATACATCCTGAGTTTTTATTCTAGTTCAACTATACTGCTTCATTGCGCATTGGAAGAGTTTTTGTGACTATGGCAAAATATGTAGTTGGTTTCTGTTCTTGTCATTTCAGAAGAATTATTCTGTCATGACGTCAAAGCTTATGGATCCTTGTGATCTAATCTGACGTCATTGTTTTCAACTCCTTCTATCCGCTATTTATATTTGGATAAAAACCTCACCGTAAAACCTGTTTCAGAAGGACCACTCTAATAGAAAGGCCTCCGTGAAGGGCTGGGAAAAATGGAAGAGTCTCTGTAACAGAGAGGCCCTTCATAAAGAATGCTTGAAATTAAAAACTTCCGTGCGTTTTCAGTGAAAAATACCCGTACCTGTTTGCAGATATTAAAGCTGTCAAACCATGTTCCCGGTTTTTCCTGTCCATTTATGTAGAATACGCTTCATATTACCGTAAAACCTGTCATACAGTGCGGTTAATATCTGTAGGACCCCCCCCCTCGATTTTGGAGGTTCCAGGAGAACGGGAAGAGATATCAAAATTCTGTAAACGCCATTCGATTCAGAATAAAAAGAAACCCTAGCCGACAAATTTCATGATTCTATCCCTTTCCGCATAAGAGTAACACCAAAAAGACCTATTTCTGACCGGTCAATATCTTTAGGACCCTCTGAAAATTTCAAAATCTTGGCCAATTTTTGTCGAACTTTCGCTTTTAACCGGAAAATAATTTTCAGTTTCGTGCTTTTAGATACATGTTAATAAGAATCTCAAAGAATTTTCGAAAGTTGTCGACTTTCCAAATTATAATTTTTTCCAATTTTTCCTAATTTTAGAAAAGTGACCCAATAAATATCTGGAATATCACAGTGTCTGTACACAATCAAGGCCCTGAATGCGCTCATAGAACCTAAATCAGTTTCTCAACATCATATTCTGTATGTTCCATGACCGTTCTCTTTGAATAGTTTGAATTTTTGGACAAATCGGGTCATTTTTACAAAGATACCCAAAAATGAGGAAAAATGATAATTTGGAAAGTCGACAAATTATGAAAATTCTTTGAGATACTTGTTAAAATGTACCTAAAAGCACACAACTGTAAATTATTTCCAGTTTGAAACCGAAATTTCGACAAAAAATGAAGAAGATTTTGAAATTTTTTGAGGGTCCTAAAGATATTACTGAAGATATACCAGAAATAGGTCTTTTTGGTGGTACTCTTATGCGGAAAGTGGTAGAATCATGAAAATTTGTCGGCTAGGGTTTATTTTTGTTCTGAGTCGAATCGCGTTTACGAAATTTTGATATCTTTTCCCGTTCTCCTTGAACCTCCATAATGGGGGGTCCTAAAGATAGACCGCACTGTAGAAGGGCACCTGACATTTATCTTTTTAGCGCCAATATTTTATCTGGGTTCCTGTCAAAGACAAAAAATGGTGAACTGGTAAACCCTTTTCTATCAGTTGACAAATTTTTGATATCTTGCATAGGAGCCAAGAAAAAAAGCTGAAACTTGACAGTGTGAGGGGTCCTTCTATTACAGGTTTTACGGTAAGTCGTTTTCCATTCGGTAATTGTCCAATTCCAATATACCTTTTTTTTAAAACCAGTCTTTTCACAGTTCATCGTTTTGAGCCTATGATAGTTTTTATGCTTTCCACAAAAGCGAAAAACTCGGAATTCACAGAGCCATCAAAAAGTTTTAATTTAGGCTAAGCGAAAACATATCTCCAGTTTAGTAGTTGACGACTTTCTTCAGCGAAATGTTACAAAAAAGAGAACTTTAAAAAGAGAAAGATCTATAATTTCCAAAGCATTTATTTCTCCCTTCTCGCACAATTTTGTTTACTTTACTCAAAATTCCTAAAACTGCTAACCCTTTATTATCTTCTGATCTAACCCTATCATTATGGGTGGAAAGAGAGCACATGAAAGTGTGACTCGATGTTGTTTTCGATAGAAATATGTAGCATTACAAACTTTACTCTTTCACAAGTTTAGCTCTGGTGTTACTGATAAGTTTTATTCTGACTTAAAGGAAAGGTTTGCTGAAGAAACAGAAAATTGAATACTTTTGTCCACTAATACTAGCCATTATCTGTGTTGTTCTTTATAGAGAGTTACCGTAAAATCTGTATTGGAAGGGCCGGCCCTTCTATTGTTCCAAGGTACCCCCGGAGGGCCCTTCTATTACAGGGGCCCTTCAATTAGAGGGGCCCTTCTATTTTTCCGGTCATTTTTCCCGAAAATTTTCATCGAAAAATTCGACGAATTTTCGTTCAAAAGTCATAAAAATCTGTCAATCTCACCAAAATGAATCAAGTTTTTGAGCAAAAAGTAGTTTTTCAACAGACTTTTATTAAATTTTAGAATTCCCGGAATATTTTTCACTGAAAACGTACGGAAAATTTTTAATTTCATGACCATGTTGAAGGGAGTCCTTCTTTACAGAGGGCCTTCTATTACGGGGGCCCTTCTATTACAGGGCGCCCTTCTATTTTTCCAAACCCCTCTCGGGGGCCCTTCTATTAGAGGGACCCTTCTATTAAAGGGGCCCTTCTAATACAGGTTTTACGGTATAACTGTTCAGAAACGTTGAGATCATAACTTGAACTGTTTATACTAAAGTTCCTATTTTCCTTGCTGAGCTCGCTTCATGTCCATGGTGTCCTGGGTTTGTTGGCTAATATTGAACCTATACAGTTGAGAATCGAATATCACCAATATACAATATTTTGAAAAAAAAACTTTTTTCAAAACATATTTACCGTAAAGCCTGTAATAGAAGGGCCCTCGGAATTTCAACTTTGAGTTTATCTCGGTTCCTCTCAAAGATATAAAGTTATCAATTGAAAAATATTTATCATAATATGACAAACATTTTATCAGTTCACACATTCCTGATATTAGGTTGTTCAATAAATAGTGGTCACTTTGACTTCGCTCTACCGCTACTTTTTCGATTATCGATTTTTTTTTCATTTTTGTTTTAATATTTTCATGTGTCACATATTGCATGTTTATTACATCATTAAAACTTTCAGGTAATTGCTACAATGACCGAGAATTTACTCGATGATCATCATGCACTCAGAGGAGTGTTTTTGTTCGTGTTTCTCCAGGGTCACTCGAGCAACGAAGCTTGGCAAACAATGTGTGAAGTGTTAGGCGCAGACACCATCCCTCGAACCACGATTAAGTTTTGGTTCAAAAGATTCGAGGAAGGGAATTATAATCTGGAACAAAACCGAGCCCCGGAAGGCTTCGTCTCAATATCGACGACGATATTTCAATGACACTGGAGGAAGAGCCCCGGGCTACTTTACAGGAAGTATCTTTGACAGCCTTCATCGAATGGGGAGAGTTCCGAAATTCGGTCAAATTATCCCACACCTGTTGACCGATTTTCAGAAAAACTGCGATGTGACCTGTCACTTTCACCACTCACCAGGGAGCCGACGACGGACTGGATTAAGAAGATAATTACTGGAGATGAGAAGTGGGTACTGTATGTCAACCATACCAGAAAGCGCCAGTGGGTCCATGCAGGAGAAGCAGCAGAATCGGACCCAAAAGGAGAACTTTACGAAAAAAAGATAATGCTTTCGATTTGGCGGGACAGTGCTGGAGTGATTTACCGCGAGCTCCTTCCGGACTCCACTACTATTAACTCTAATGTCTACTGTTCTCAAATGGATAATGTACTTCATGCTTACCGCTCTCACCGCCCGAGAAGCTCGAAGATTATACTTTTGCACGACAACGCCAAACCACACACATATTTGAAGACCCGCAGTAAGCTCCAGTCCCTCGGAATTGAAGTTCCTACTCATCCACCGTATTCCCCGGACCTGGCACCCACTGATTATCACCTTTTCCGTTCTCTCCAGAACCATCTTTCCGGTGAAAAATTCAATGATCGCAAGGATGTCGAGAAGTTTTTGGATCACTTTTTTGCCTCCAAGTCGCCAGAGTTCTACGCAAATGGAATTGCTCAACTTCCAATGCGCTGGCAAGAAGTTATTAACTCCAATGGAGAATACATTTCTTATTGATTTTTGTTTTCCTTGAATAAAAAGCGAATTGAAAAAAAGTGACCACTATTTATTGAACCACCTAATATGTCTTTTCGGAGAAAAGATAATTAAGGTCGAACTTGACAGTGTGGGGCCCTTCTATTACAAGTTTTACGGTAAATTTCATTCTCTAAAATACGCGAATTAGCCGAGGCAGTCCAACTGATAATCTCTATACCGGTCAAAAGCTTTCTGTCGTAGCAATATCTTTGTTGAAGAGCTGCCGCACATTTTTAATCATCAAAATGACTTCAAGTCAAGCACATGACATCTCTACATAAATCCTCAAAGCTCAGAGACCTGAACTATCCTGTTTGCTTCAGAACTCAAACATTTTAATAATACCTTACTCGTTTCACCTCATTAGCAAAACTAGTATGAGATTAGGAGAACGAAATCGGGATTATCCTTACGTAAGGCCCGTTACTCTAGAAGAGAAGCTTAGAAATGAGTACATTTTGAGGATTAAAAATGGACCCGTACACCCATGAAGAGCTAGGATTGAAAGTCAGCTGTCTCCTATTTTCGAATATTTTCGAAAAGTTCATAATTTGGGCCTTGGAGCATATTGAAATTAAAATCTGCATGAAATTCAGAAACTAGTCATTTTCATGATTTCACCAGTTTCAGTCGGTTTGTTTATGATATATAGAGTATCATGTGATCACGGCTTGCTTTTCGAAATTACACTTTCACAGAAAACAAACTTTTCAAAACATCTCATGACTAACGTACATCCCTCAAAATTTACGGAATCGGAAATTTAAACGAAGATTCAAACAAACGAATTCAAACGAATATTTCAAAAAATAGATCATTCGAGAAACCAGTTATGATCATTCTATGTTTCATAATTGCGGCATAAATTGCAGTCTACAAATCTCACAGGGTTCCAACTGCTATGGTATACTGTTACGCTCCAATGAGAAGCGGTTGTGGAAATGAAATTCTAGCTGATACGCACATTCTCATTAGAGTGCAACCGCATACCACAGCAGTTCGAACTCTATGAAATCTTGATTTTGTGGCAAGATTAGTTTAGTCGTTGGTAGTTTTTATCTCCTATCTCGACATGGACTTTGAACTTACAAGTAACTTAGGATCCACATAATACCATTAAATATGTAGTTGCCCTAGATTTTATCTAGCTTCGCCCCCTAGAAAAGCGGCATTCCTCAATAGAGCTTTCGCAACGGCACCATATGCTTCACCATAGACCTTGCCTTAAAATTGCCGGATTAATCGCAGTATCGCCGCAACAATAACCGGGCGGCACGGGCACTGTCAAAGCTGTTACCTGCCTCTCCGATCTGTATCAGTCTAATTGAGCAATTAGCAGATGTTTCTTCCACGCTCCTCCCCCCATGGGGCCGGATGTCTTTTTGTACCTCCATCCTCGCCAGACGGTAATTATGAGGTCAGTACCGGGTGGGATGAGTTAAGTCTTCTCACAAACTAGTAGTATTCTGTATCATGGCATCTAGCGAGGAAGTGGAACAGCCTGCTGAAGGCAATGAACCCGTAGAGAATCCGGATTTATCAGGTCAGTGATATTTGAAATTCTAAGATATATAAACTAGCAAAAATTTAAATTTCATGAATTGTATGTGGGTTTGTTTTGAAGTGTTGTCAAACTATTGAAAATATAAACATTCAAATATCATACTCTTTCCACTTTTTTTTTTGCTTTTCGCCATACTTGTAACGGGCCGGGCCGGGCCGG